AATTTTGGTTTAATCACTTTAATACTTTTATTGAAAATGGATAATGGCCATTTGTTTGTCATACATAAGTTATAAAGATCATTTTTATTGCTTACTCCTATTTTGAGTTGTTTACCCGCATAGCTGATCATTGAAAATTTATTAATATTAACACCATTATTAATGAAATGTTTGTAAATTTCACTTCCTGCTATCACTGCTGAAGGTAATTCACGAGTCGGTAAACTATTATCAAATTGAACATAAAAGCAAGGTAGGTTATGCGTTATCGCTCTTTTTAGCTGTTCGAATGAAATTGAATACCCTTTATTTATGTTGAGTGACGGTTTCTGAGGCGGACGGTATGACTGGTTCTGATACGTCCGTGACGATTGTTTTTCAATCAGTGCCCGACGATTATTATCCGATCCTTCATAGTACTGGTCATAATTTTGTCCTTTACTGTTATTATCCTTAAATCTCGATTTTTTCTGTTGACTAGATTGAAATGATTGATCATTCTCGAATTCTCTTTCATTTCTTTTTGTGTTTGGAGTAGACGTCCTGTGTTGTTCAATTTCAACGACTGGAGAATTTTGGACATTAAAACATTGTTGCATTCCATTATATAAAACATCTTTTGAGTGGGTTACTACTAAATCCGTATACTGTGCCTGTTGTACGTTTTCGTTATCATAAGAGTCATACCGAACATAATTATAATTACTGTTGTGATATAAATTCTGACTATTTCCATTTTTATTAACCATATCATTTCTTTGTCTATACTGATTGTAAGGATGAGTCATTTTTTTACATATACGCCCTTCACTGCGTAAGTGAAGCAGCGTGTTTATTGTAAAATATATAAAATTTGTGGGTAAGTATATACTAGTTGAAGAATACAAAAGTACGTCTTTACTGTATGAATGTAAAAGTAAAAGTGATAAGTTCATTTTATAAGTATATAATGATTGATATTGTGGTGTTTATATACAAGCGGTCAGTGCAAAATAAGAGGGTGACTGGCTTCTCCAAGTACCTGGCTGAAGCAAGTCAAGTAACGATACTGCGTAAGTTCTTATCAAGTACTTGCCAAGTGCTTAACTTGTCATGTACTTCCCAAGTACTCATCAAGTGGGTATCCTATACCTCCAGTTAAGTGTTTTACAGCTCGAAGTTGTTCTCTATTTACTGACTCCCGAATGAAACATCAAATTTTCGGGTATTTTAGCGCAACGAGTAGCGCCTCCACCGATTCTATCTCAACAATCTTCTCTGCCGGTGACAACACAATCTCAATCGCGAACAACACGTGATTGACAAGGTGTTCGAGGTCGAGATCGGACACGTGCTACTACACAAGCACCACCACCTCGTCAGAATATTAATCAAAATTCAGTTAACTTTAGTATTCATGATCTTTCTCTCCACGATGATCGACCAGCGAGAACAACAATAACAGGAGTGATGCCTGATGCGACCGACCGGTACAATGATTTTTTAGACCTTGGTTTTGAACTGTATCATCATATGCATCAAATGATGGATCAAATATGAAAGATGTGTGCTTTGGTGTAAGCAACGAGACCAAAGGACCTTATTGCTGACCTTCGTCTCCATTGTTTGTTTTTTCGTTGTTTTCTGCGGTGTGTGTGTGTGTTACACATTAGTTGTAAAAAACACATTAGTTGCCCTTTTCGAAATTCATAGTTATCCAAGCAAGAAGTTCTTGTTTTGTGCGTTTGTGCGCATACGTCTTATTTGAAATATCCCTTTTATGTTCCCTTTGATGAAATATATATGAACACATGTAATCACATGCTCAAAAGAATTATTGCTGATATTGAAACATAGAAGCCAACAGTTTAAAAGACTATTAAAAGACTTCTAATTTTTCTGTACTACAGTCGTAAAGTGGATGTATCTTATTTCATGAAAGCAATGTGCTGACTTTTATCGAATCGTTTTCCGAGTTCGCATATGAAAGTCTTGGATATTTTTATATATCCGAGTAGAGGAAAGTCTTGGAAATCTGACGGTATAAAATGTTTTAAATTGGTCCAAAAATGACTGAGTTATAAGCGAAAAATTGAACGAGGTTCGTCTACACTTAGAGACATCGTTACGTTCTGTTCTGTTTTGCTTTTCCGTTGTCTCGTGCAAAGCAAGCGTGTATTATATACACAAAGCGTATATTCTTCGTCACAACGCTATATAACGAAATAAAAGAGAACAGAAAAAAGAAAAGAAAAGAAAACCGCTATTTGTCGCAGTTCTATTTTGTAATTGTTCTACTGATGTATAATTTATTTCAGAATAACGAACGTCCATAACACACAAAATTAAAATGAGAGAACATCCAACGTTTAGGAAAACGTTTTACACCATTTTTTAAAACGACCTAACCTATCAACCAGATGCAATTTTCGACAACATCTAGATTAAAATAAAATGTCTGATCTTACTAGGTTGTAGCACCAAGCCTTGGCTACATTTTAAGACCATCGCGAGCTTCTGAGAACTCAAAATGGCGGAGAAATCTTTGCCGTACGAACAGTTTAAAGTAAAAAAAACTACTGTGAGAAAAATCCCGTGCTTTTGTTAGTGCACTTCAGAATTTGTAGAAAGATGCTTGTAATCAATTAACAGAAGATGACACGGTGCTATGAGTTGTGATACACCGACATTTCTGCGAAGACTTGTTGATTGGAAAAGAAGAATAAATGAGCCTGGTTTTCCATTTTGTAAAACACTTTCTTTTGAAATCTGAGTGAGGTTATGTGGTGAATAGTCATTGTGTGATACAGATATACTCACTCCTACACTGCCCACCTCCCACGATACACTGCTGGAAATACCAAATGTGTACTACGAAAAATTCGCTGAAGAGTCGGTGTCCTGTTCACGGAAATGTCATTCGCGAAGATGTCGTGTCAGGATGAGTTGTGCTGTGTCTCAGTTATGATTAGAAAGGATTGCTCTACAAATCTACGTGTCTAGAAAATAGTTTAAGTGCATAAAAAACTAGGAATTGTAGTCTCTTGTTTTCAAGGTTTCTAAAGACTTCGTCTAAAACCATGGAAATTCATCTCTGGGACAGAGAATAATAAAGATTCTAAAAGTACACACTTTGCCTATGTTGAGTTTCTTGCTTCATTCATGGTGCAAACGCGGATCGCACAATTCACACGGCGATCGTGATTCTTACAGTGATTGCGCTCGGATCACGAAGTCGCGTTAAGATAACTTTAAGTTTTAAAGTCGCGGCGCGACCGCGCCTTTTCTTGAATTCGCTCTGGAACTCACTATAAATCTCTCGCAGCGCTTCGCTGTAAACCGCCGCGTTTTTGAATCATATCCCAGTTGACTTTCATGCTTCATTCGCTGGCGAACGTGATTTTCACCCTGCGATCCTGTTACATTCGCTCAACGCACGCTGTGATCGCGTTCTCCTCCTACAATCGCGACTTGATACAGAGTCACGGCGTAATGTCGGTACAAATCCTAGTCCCGTTTTGTTTTACCAGACACCTACTACGTAACTCATATTGATTTTCGAAAAATCTTTAATCGCACCGGGACTAATATAAGTCTCGCGTAGCGGCATCGCGAGTTTGCGAATCGCGATTCATCCGGGTTCGCAGTAAGAGTAGCGTGACTCATTTATTGTTAGCCGTTTAAACCGTTTTCTTTTTGTTACGAAAGTTGACGTCCTGCCAAGAAGGAGAAGTTTAAGTTGTTATTAAAATTCTTTATTAAAGCATGTACCGTCTTTCTCTAATCCTGCATTTTCTGGTGTTATATGTTGTTTTCAGATATGCTTACCATTCGATTACTACTGTTTTATATATCGTGCGCAACTACCGCCGTTTGGATCTTATTGTACGGTTTTCGTGAACAGATTGACAACAAACACAAAGAATTAATTGAAGCATCAATTACAATTAAAATGAAAATTATTAAAAATTCAGATACATCGATAAAGGACGAATTACAGAATGTCAAAAAATGTATTGAACAACTATCATTCTCATCGAAAGACGCAATCGATTATGAATACTCACAAACAATCGGTTTAGACGAAAAGTCAAAACAATATCTGAATTATTCGGATATCGTACAATATCTAGTGACAAGAGTATGGTTTATTTGCATCTTTGGATTAGCAACTCTATTTATTATTGATTGTTTGCAAACTTAGCAATACATATCCTTCTAGGCAGTTTTTAGGTTTTTATAATATAAATAAAGTCACTATTTCAGTTATTAAAACATTTCGTGAATAAGACAATCAGCAGATTATGCACTTAAAAAGTCAGACGTGGCCTAAACCGATCAATATATTCAATCGTTTAAACTCCTCCTTTTTCGTCGTACTCGACAGAAGTCTTTAATTCTGAACAAAAGAGTGCTTTAGAAAAGCAGGAATAGTTAGAATGAGGCGTTCATGCACAGTGTAGAAATTTAGAATTAAATCGAAGAGAGAGAGATAGAGTTGATCATAACAGTCATTGTCGGATATATATGGTTGATATGTACATCATTGATACCCATAAAAGGCAATGAAGAACAGCAAGTACAGCCAATGGTTATCTTTCACATTCTTTCTGTCTCTTTTTTTCTCACTTAC